AGGGAGAGATTTGGGTGTCTGGAGTGACAGGCAGGCCTGGAGTCCCTGGGGTCAGTCTAGATGGTCTCAATCCCTCCCTCCCAAGTAAGGGAGGCCCTGAAAGGAAAGCCAGAGGGGTCTCAGCAGGAGAAGCTCCAGGCTGCCAGTCTCCTCCTCTCCCCAACCTAAAACCTTCAGCCTCCATTTTTCAGAGGTTGCAAAAAAGAGACAGAAATTCATCAGCTACTAAAAAAAAAACATCCTTTCCCATCAGGAATCAGGAAGGACGGCAGGATTAATTCACGAGTGCTGAAGAAAAAGAGATGAGGAAGAAGATTAGAATATAACCCTTCAGTGTAAGTAACATATTATTCTTACAGCCCCCCCCCTAGGAAGACCCACACTGCAGGGGGGTGGTTGATAGGCAGGGACACAATGAGGGAGAATCCCCCCCCTTTCATGGAGAAAAAGGATGCAAAGGACCAGCGATTCATCTTCTGGGGCTGATGGAATTTTCTCTAATTGATTTAATTAGGGAGTTAATCAAGAAAGGACGCCTCCCCCCCCCAGATGTTTCATATTGACAAAGAAGATGGGGCCAGGATGGGGGGTGGAAGCAAAGCCGGGTGTCACTTGGCCAGAAATTGTGAGAAATGTCACAAGGAGACTTCCCTTCCCTTTTGCAATTTCCCAAAACTTGGAAACATCCTGGGCCATATTTTAGTGTTTCTGGTGTGTGTTTGTTTTTGATTGCACTGTTTTCAGGTCTCTGTAATGAAAAGCTGCCCAAAATTTCAAAAATTTGTGTTATCCACAGCAAGGAGGTTTTGTTCAGGCACATTTTTTTTTTAAAAAAAGGAACAATTAACGAATGTTAAAGAAACATCTATAACAGTGATGGCAAACCTTTAAGAGACTGAGTGCCCAAACTGCAACCCAAAACCCACTTATGCATCATCGAGTGCCAGGTGGGTGTGGCCCATTGGCTGGGTGTGGCCAATTGGTTGGGCGTGGCCCATTGGATGGGCGTGGCTGCAGTGATAACGGCGGACTGGGTGGGACTAAAAAGTTCAATCAATCAATTCCAACTTTGCAAGATCTTTTGTTTCCTGCAAGGTTTTTTTTGCACACTGCGGCGGAGGCCTAAAGCGAAAAGGTTTTATAAAACCCAGCTGAAGGCCTAGGACTGGGGTGACGGTGCGCGTGCCCACAGAGAGGGCTCTGAGTGCCACCTCTGGCACCCGAGCCATAGGTTCGCCCCCACTGATCTATAACTTGGGGAGAAACTCACCTGCAGGAGGCTGGATGGGAGTTGCTGGAAGGAGAAAAAGAGCCAATCAGAACCCTTCATGGGCTGGAGGACTCAGGGGGTCCCCCTCCCCATCGATAGCCCATAATAGGTTGTATGATGCTCACTTATACAGTAGACCCTTCCCAAGGGGAGCCTCCTTGCCATCTGCTAAGCTTGCTGAGAGGCCTCCCCTGGATGGTCCCCTCCCCACAATCTCTCATCCAGCCCCCCAGACTCACCTTTCTTGCTCTTCAGGTAGAGGGAGAGCCCCATGGCAAAGAAGATCACCCCGATCACAGCTGCCACGATCCCCATCCAGAGTTTGCTCCTGGCAGAGTTGGAGGAACGGGGCTCTGGGGAAGGAGAAGGAGCCCCCCCCTGAGCAGGAGGATCAAGGCCAGCTTTCCCCCCCCCCAGGAGGGTCCATCCCAGCTCCACCCACAGGGAGGGTCTCTCCCCCCTTCTCAGGGCAGGATGGGGTCCCAAGACCAGGAGGGGAGGGAGGGGCTCACCCCACTGGACGGTGAGGGGGGCCTCCAGGCTGGCGTGCTCCACCTGGCAGGTGTAGATGTCCCCCCGCTGGGGCTGGGTCTCCAGCATCACCTGGAGCTGGTAGGTCCAGTCTCCGTTCTGGAGCTCCTCCCCGAAGGCCACGTCCTCCTCCTCTGGCCGCCCGTTCTTCAGCCACCGGACCTCGATCTCCACGGGGTAGAAGCCCCTCACGATGCAGAGGAGGATGGTGTGGGGGGAAGCGGGGTCCAGCTTGGTGGGGGAGATGGAGACGGTGGGCTTGGCTGGAGGGGAGGAGGGGGAGGAGGGACATGGGGGGGAGACACAGGAGGGGCCAGAACAGGAGACCAAGTGGG